TAGGGCAGTAGAGGTGAGAAACTGTCATTTGAGGCTTCATTTTCTGAAGGTAAAGTCAACAGAGGTGGCTTTACATGGAATGAGATATATGGTATGAAGCTCCTTGGTATTTTGTCTGAAAAAACTGGATGAATGTTAATACTAGGGAGGAAGGCAAGGAAAGACATTATTTTGAAGGAAAACAAGAGTTTTGTTTGGGCTTTATAAGTTTAAGAAATTTATGGGGCTCCTGGGTGGCTCAGTCGGTTAAGCGTCCTACTTTGGCTCAGGTCACGATCTCCTGGTTTGTGGGTTCGAGCGCCGTGTTGGGCTCTGTGCTGACAGCTAGCTCAGAGCCTGAAGCCTGCTTCGGATTCTGTGTCTCCCTCTCTCTCTGACCCTTCCCTGCTCACGCTGTCTATCTTTCTCAGAAATAAAACATTAAAAAAAAATTTAAGTTTAAGAAATTTATTTGAGTTATTCAGACATCCATAGGGGTGTGTTGAACTGCGTCAACTTCTTTCATATGCACACTCTCATGTATTATATTCTCCTATTGATTCTATGAGGTGGATACTAATGTTTTTCCAATTTAACAGATAATGAGATTTGGAAAATTAGAGGAACAATGCCAAAGTCATGTAGTTAGAAAGCCTCAAGGGCACAGTTTGAGTCAAGGCTGTCTGATTAGAAAACCCTCATTCCCAATCGCCATTTTATACAACCGAAAGCCCTCCTGATCAAATGGATTCAGGTTATATGATATCTAAGGCATATGCAATTGGGGGAGGTTTCTTTAAGGAAAAAAAATACCACTATAACCTTGCTTTCAGAAGTAAATATTTAGACTGAGAAAAGAAATCATAATAAATTGTACACTTTAAAAGAGGTCCAATACCATAGACATCACAAAATCTAGAAACTTAGCATAATTCTTAAAAGTTAACAAGTGAACACATTGCTACAATATTTTCCTACTTTTTTTGTCTGCATACATTTTGATCATCTCTTTCTATGGCAAAGGTTTTGTAATGACATTTGTATAGAAAAAAACAAGAAGATCAATTAGTGGGGCATCTCTCATGACTAAAATTCATCAATTTCTAATTATTGGTAGTTGAGAAAAGTTTCTTTCAGATTTATAACTTCCCAATAGTAATACTGTATCAATGTGTAGGATTGTTTAGGAATTTATTTGAGAAATGTGAGGAAATATCCAAGTTTGGCAATAACACAAAGCCAGTTAGCTAGACACTGTTGGGCTCTTCCTGGGTCTGTCAGGGGCCTGTGCAGGGCAGGAAACTGAGGAATCCACTTCTGGCACTGGTTTCCCTAACACAGGGGGAAGAAGTGATAGGACCCGGAGGTTTTTGCTGTATGTGGTGTAACATGAGATCGACCCTTCCAGAGTGGCCAGAGCGGGATTGGCTGCCTCCTCAGGAACTCGCCATCTGATGGAATTGTCAGTTCTCCAGCTGTGAGGTGAGAGCCAGAGGGTGAAAAAGAAAAAAAGACTGGCGAAAACAATCCTTTTCACAAAGTCTTCAACAGCTGGGTTTCAAAACTACTAGAACTGGCATTACTTTTTCTATTTCTCTTACCCTCCTCCCATAAGTTGATGAAAATAACCTACTAAATATTTATCTTGCTGAAGTTTTCTTATTTTAAAATATAGCCTCTTTGAAGGTTAACTGCATGTAGAAGTGGTACGTATCTTCTTTATAATTAACTAATCAATAATTGGAGCGTTGCCATGATTATAGTCTTACTTGAGCACACTGTCATGAAACAGTGAGTGAACTTGAATTGTGCCTCATTTTCTTTCTTCACTCAATTTTCCTTTGCCTGAATTAATTACATGTTCGGGACCCTTCTGCTATTGTATAGCAGCTGTGAAATGAGAGTATGGTGGTTCACTTCTTTGTATCCTTGGAGTAAAGGGTAGACGAGGACTGGAATAATCATTATAGAAGAGTGACTGTTGGTCCTGGTTGGAAAAATAGAAGGAATTTCAAGAAAAAGAATGAGTAAAAAAAAAAAAAAGTGAGGAAATTAGTACGAAAAAGTGGTTTCTGGGATGTTTGGAATCAAGTTAAACCCCTTTTTGCTTCCATATGTTTGGTAAGCTATAAGGTATCAAAGGGGCACCTTGATTTGATTCACCATGCTTAATGGAATTGCAGAATTCAGTGTAAATAGCATGGGCAACCCCCACCAGTCCACATTTCGGTGTCATTCTTTAATTGATATTTCAGAGTGTCTAGACTCAATCTCCCAACTGGTCAACTCAGCAGGAAGCCCAGTCTGATATGTCAAAAATCCTCAGGGGTCCCTACTGCCCTAGCTGCTTGCTGATAGATCATAAATTCCAATTCCAATTCATTTCAGAGCCCTCGGGAGCCTTCCCTGGGGCCAGGTGATGGCTGCTCCCAAAGCCATAAGTGTACAGACAAGCCTGCTGCTGTTCCAGGGGCACGAAATCACTGAGCCCACAGTAGTTGGACTCACTATGCCCCTCACTGCACCTGGGCATGCTCTGTGCTCCTAGGGCTGCTTTGGTCACGCGTGGTTAAGAAGATCCCCAAGCTAGGTCGGTGGCCTCATGAAGTGCAGACCTATATGCAAGAGCCATAATAGGCTCTTGTGAAAGCTAAATCTTGAATAATTTCAGACTTTTAAAAATTCAAAATCGTAAGCTTCAGGTACATAATTAGGTGTGAAAGAGAGTATTTGCTTAGAATGGAGAAACACGTCATATCATGTTGCAGAATCCTTGGAGATTCAGGCCCCTTTCTTTTAAGATTCATGTTAGGCAATTTGCTAGAAATACTTCATAGAAATCGTCCTTCACTGCCGTCTGGCTTACCCTCCTCTCATAGAACATTCTAAACTCCAAACAACTCCTCCACAATTCCAGGAGCCTGGACGAGGGAGAGTCCCTGAGAGGGATGTTCTATTAGCTTCACGACAAATTCACCTCTACCTACACTGGTAGTGTCACCTCTGGGTACACTGCTGATTACCTGGGGTTCTGCTGGAACCATCTGGCCCTGATGATTTGGATGCTTTGAGCATGGCCATCGCTGAGGTTGTCTGCACCTACTGGAGTCTGGGTGGTGCTCAGAGATTTGGCTCACTCACTCACCTCCTCTTCCTCACTTTTTTTGCCAGGGCTGGTCCTGCCAGTTAAGCCCAGCCTACAGTGGTTTCTCGAGGTTTGAATGAGGATATGACTTCTTTTAGTCTTATCTAGTGAAGGCCCCCCTTGACAAAATGGTTCCACCACCGTGAACCACTTTAATTGTATTCAAGTGTACTTATATTTCCTATCCCTAGTAAAAGATGTGTGATGAAGCATTCTCCCAACTCCAACAGCCTTCTCCTGTTATGCAATTCTCTTCCTCAATGTTATTGTTTCTTGGGTAGCATTATAGAAATCTATTTTGCAAAAATAAACAAATCTGTGTATATGCATGTTGATGTTAAGCTCATCCATTCTTTTTTAACTGACTAGAATAATTTAATCTATTCTGTTAGTATATAATTTGTTATAATTCTCTATTGAAAAGATCTGAGTATAATGCCTATGAGAGAGCTGGAAAAGAAGGAAGTTTTTAGACATCTTTCTTTTTTACTTTTGTAGTGACATTTTGTCTCATGTTGGGCGGGCTACTCTGCTTTCCTTTTGTTAATATTGGCCAGGCATGACTTCTCTCTTCTGTTTTAGCATACGATTTTGCTTTGTCATTCAAGTGCTGCTATGTGATTTTAGTCTGATTAACATTATTAATATGACTGAGTTTTTTCTGTTATACTGTTTTAGATTTTTTTTTTCCTTTCATAGCTTTGAATGTACTTTATAGACTCTGGGAATCCCATGGTGGTACATAGGATGGGGGGTTTCTCTCTGCTGTTTATATTAACCTTTGTGTTGTTAAAAAGAGCTATCTTTGCTCTTTGATTTCTTACAGAAGAGATCAGAATATTTACTTTTCTAACTTTGGCTGCTTTTCGAATTACCACAGATTATATTATTTACATTTTGATCTGATTTCATAATCTTAGCATTTGTTTCTGTCTTTAGTTGATGGGTAAATAGATCCAGTGACCACACAAATTTCTTTGTTGTGGTTTCTTCAGTCATTTCTTGATCGGCTAAATCTTGCTCAATGTTAGATTCCTTGGGAACAGATGGGAACAATTCCCTTGGATTCTTGCATTTGTCATCCTTCTTGAACATATAGGTTGAAATAGTCTTTTATTTCAGGAAAGTCTTAATAAATTATATCTTTATATATTTGTGTCATCTTTCTTTATTTCAATTTATTCTTCTATAATCCTTAGTATGGTATTTTGGCTCTCCTTGGTTTGTCTTCTATATCTATGATATATATATATATATATATTTCATTTTCTCTCTGTGCAGAAAAAAAAGAAACCCAAAAAGGCAGTTGGCCAGGAGAAGCAAATAAATCTTCCTTCGATATTCATGTCTAGATTGTGGTCAGACATCAGCATGTGATTTAACCTTCTTCAGGTCCTATTTGAATTTGCACTTGGATATGCAAAGTGGGTGGCCCTAAATTCTTGAAGACAATATAGGTTTTGTTTCTGTTGGAGCTTAAGAACAGTGTTGGGCCAGTGTATCAAGTGGTAATATAATTGGTGGGAAACCTGAAGCCCCTCCAAATTGTCTCACCCACCCAGAACCCAGTGATATTTACTCTACAGACTTCTAAATGCAAAGTTTTAAAAGAACTTTACCTATTTGCTATCCTGTCTTATAAAACTTCCTAAAATTTTTGAAAAAGTTTTATGGTTATTTTAAGAAACAATCTCTAAAAGAATAGAAGTCAGATGTTATGAGTACACACTACAAAAGGATAATTCCTTGGGGTGGGTATCTGGCTCAGGCAATGAGACAGAGTGGACCAGACGGTCCCTGAAAGAAAGGGGACAGGAATTTTAGGCCTCAGCTTTATTGATGTATTACCAAAAAGTGTAGGTTTTACAACAGAGAAATGTTGTAAATATCATGTTGGCCAATATATCCCTAATATTACTGGTTCAGACGAGGTGTAGGGCTACTCTAGGACAGCTGACTTAGTTCCATGCTGGATTCTCCATTCTTTGGTTCCTTTGAGAGTCCTGTCATTACTAGGAAGATCCTTGCCAGTGACGTTCTGTAAGTCTCAGACACTGGGACAGAAAAGAGGCATCAGATCCAAGACATGCATGACAAAAAAGAAAAGGAATCTAACGGAAGCGAGTAGAGCCTGCAAAGGGTGCCAAAACATACCTCTGATTTAATTCTTCAGCTGCTCAGTGAGTTACGTATCTGCTGTTCTATAGATATCACACATATTTTCCTGTTTTCAGTGTTTCCTCTTTCCACTTTCTGTCAGAGATAGAGGAGAATGAAATATTTCTCTCTGCGCATACTGCAATCACTTTTGCCAGTAAGTACAGATCTTAAAACAAAAGTATCTTGACCCTCTCATAAAAGAAGTTATTTTCAATTGCTTGCTGATAGCTTGAAAGTACACATCATTTTTCATACTCAGACCCCTAGTAATTTGTCATGTGTCTGGGCATTTCATTATCAGCAATATTTTACTATCTATCCATCTCTGCTCCTTCAAGTGCCTGTTTTTAACACGGAGACAATAGACTTCATCCAGTCGATAAAAGAACATGCCAATAGGTGGTGATTAAGAACATACTCAGATGTCAGACAACTTGGCTCAAATGGGCAATTTACTTAATTCTCTCTAAATCTTGAAAATAGGGATCATGTCAGTACACACCTTACAGAGTTGTGGTGAAGATAAGATTCATGTACTTATTTTGGGGGCACTACCTATTGAAAATGAATGTGAGCTAAGGTGATAGAGACAATAGGGTGCTTTTCTAGATATGGCGACAGAAAATGCTGCTCCAGAAATGTTTTATTTGAGTGAAGATCTGAATCAAATGAAGCTAGAAAGCAAGTCTTGCAAATATTGAGGGAGAGAAGATTCCAGGCAGAGGAAAGAGCATTTAAAAAGTAGTGTAGTGGGAATATCACTGCCATTTTTGAGAAGCTGGTGAATTGTGATGTCATTAATGACATCATCTTTTTACAGTGCCTGGGGCCTAGCAAGTCCTCCATGAGTGTTAGCAATTCTGCTTAGTGTGTGAATCACAAGAACAGAAATACTTGCCCCTTTTAGGGGCCCTGGGTGGGTGAGTCAGCTGAACTTTTGACTTTCACTTAGGTCATAATCTCTTGGTTCAAGAGTTTGAGTCCCACATTGGGCTCTCTGCTGTCAACACAGAACATGCTTTGGATCTTCTGAATCACCCTCCTCTAACCCCCATTCTCTGCTCCTCCCCTACTTGTGCTCTCTCTCTCTCTCTCTCTCTCTGTCTCTCTCTCTCTCTCTCTCCCTCTCTCAAAAAAATAATAAACATTAAAAAAATATTTCCCAGGGCTCCCATGTGGTTCAGTCAGTTAAGCTTCTGATTTCTGCTCAGGCCATGGTCTCACAGCTTGTGAGTTTGAGTCCTACATCAGGCTCTGTGCTAACAGCTCAGAGCCTGGAGCCTGCTTTGGATTTCATGTCTCCCTTTTTCTCTGCCTTCCCCCTCTTGTGCTCTGTCTCTCAAGAATAAATAAACATTTAACAAAAATTTTTTTAAAAATCTCCCTCTTTTGTTATCTTGCTTAATGAAAGAGGATCTAATTATGCCAACAATAGTACAGAGACTACTAACAAACCCTCTTGCTCTTGAAGCAAACCTGTTCTCTGTTCTGAAAAGAAATGAGTTGACTGAGTTTCTCTTTGGGACAAAATGAGGAGCAGTGATTTTTGACTTGCCCCACCTAGAGAAGTGGTGTCCTACAGGACAAAAGTGTGCCTTTCTGAACTTGGGCTATCAAGAACTGATGACCTCAAGAAGACAAGAACAGAGGTGGGTGGGAAGAGCTGTACTGGGTATGAGTTCCCAAAGCCAGAGTCTTTCTAGAGAGTTCCAGGCTAAAACGAAGTCACAGTCTACATGCAGACTATACTATGGAAGGGTATTCCTGATCTTTTGGGGTTTGTATTTATTATGTGAGCAAAATTTATTGTAGAAAATTTATTTATTTATAAATGATAATGTTTTAGAAGTTTATTAAATTTATAATAGATATTTAGAACATTAAGAAGGTACAGACATAAAGAAGAAAGAAAGAAGAAAGGATGGGGGAAGGAAGAGAAAAGAAGAAGAAATCATCTACTAAGCTATGAGCCAAACATAAGAGCTATTCCTGTTTCATTGCATTTTTTGAACCAGATTCAATGAAAATATACAGTGAAAAAATATATATCATTAGTAACTTACTATGTTCACTCAACAGCTGATATTTACCATCTCTTCATGGCCATAAATACATATAATCCCACATCTTTTTTATTGGCTGCATAGTCATCCATCATGAAATTGAGCTATAATTTACCAACCTATTGTAACCTTATGACAATCTCTATAATGTTAAATATGCTTCTCTTCACATACAGCAATTGTACTTCCAATATCCACAGGAGAGAACGCATCATGAGAACAATCTCCCACAAAATCAGTGGCATCTTCAGTGAGTTTGCAGATTAGTAACCAGAACAGAATCTATCTGCATTTGAAAATTTAGTTAGGTAGGTAGGTAGATAGGGAGGTAGGTAGGGAAATAAATGGATGGGGTGTTAGGACTATTCAATTCGCTCACCTGCTTGATACACAAATAAACTCTTGGACTCCTTGCAAAGTTTCCACAATGCACTGTCCCACTCAGAGTGCAGTTGCTCACAGATTATACTGTACAGGGGATGCAAGGAAGTGGTCCTTCAGGTATGGTCCCAGGACCAGCAGCCTATCAGCATCACATGGTAACGTGTTGGGAATACTAATTATCTGGTCCTGCTCCAGACCTGATGGATCAGAAGCTCTAAGGATATGGCCCGGCAACCTGTTTTAGCAAGACATGCTAGTGATTCAGATCAAATCAGGGAACGATTGAAAGGGAGAGAACATAACAGTTGTCTCCTGTCACTATCAATAATGAGACCCACGACTTCTCACCTGCTACATTGTCTGTGCTTCTGATTTCTTATTTAGAAAAAAAAATTATAAACAGAAGAGGCAAACAAAGAAACATTACATATATAATGATAGAATTGTTGTAAAGATTCCATAACAATTTCTGTGAAAGCAACTGGCTGTGCCTCGTGGAGGAGATACATGCTGATTCAGGGATTATTTAAGACTCTAACATGTGACAAGAACTAGAAGACAAAGTGAAGAAGGTAACTACTCTCTTGGACCCTATTTAGTAAGGGAAAAACTGTGGGTTTTAAAGATCAGTTAAATGTCATCTTTGCCATGATAACATGTAGTTGAGGCCCAAGGAAGGGAGAGATCAATCGTGTTTGGGAAGGACAGGGAGGCAGGTGAGTCTTCACGGGGGAGAAAACCATGAGCCACAGAGAATCCAGAGTAAATCACTTCTGGGAAGTGTGAAGAGGCAGGGGCTTACGGACGTGGTAAAAAGAGGTCACCACGTATCCGAGAATGACACATGAATGAGACAGCATAATTTCCTGCAACATTGGGAGGCTGCTACGAAGGGAAGAGAGAGGTCGAAGAGGAAGCCACAAGTAATTAGAAGAGATGAAATTTGCGAAAGAGGAAAAGATAAGTTGAAAAATAAGCCAGATCCTAGAGGTCTTAAATGGCCTTTGGATTTCTGACTCCAAGCAATGTCAGTTTCCCTCTTTTCTTGAATATTTGTTTTTTCATCTTGATAGAAGAGTACATTTTAAAATAGTATTGATGGAGGAAAAGAAATCACAGAAAGGCTACCTCACAATTTGAGACCCAGGTGGAAAATGGCAAAGGGGTCTCAGGAATTGTGTATGTTTTCCTTTCTCTGTCTCTGTCTGAGCTGATTGCCTGAATGACTGACAAGCTGCCAGTTCTGAGGAAGAGGAACATGGAGTGGGAGGGAAGTAACGGAGAACAGAAGGAAGAAAGGAGAGAAAGAAGAGGGTTCAGAGGAGCAACTTGGGGGTTCACCATAGGCAGAGCCAGACAGACTGTAGCAGATTCTTAGATCCACTGACGTAGATCATTTACTGCCTTTGGATTCCTTCGGATTCTTTGTGGCACATTATTTATGACTGCGTTCTTTGTACATAGTTATTTTTAATGACTTTGTTCCCAAAGTAAACCCTCGGTACCACTGTGCCGGCACAGCCCCCATGAAAATTGACCACTTTGTTCTGTTTACGAAGGACTATAGATTTACAAATGCTGAAAATAAAACCCGCAGAGTCCATAAAGTAGATGTTCTTGGTCCTCTGCTACCATATTCTACATTTAAAATGTTTTCCCAGCCACAGTCATAATCACGGTTTACTGCATTGCCCAGATAGAGGCCTTCGAACATCCTCTCCTGTAACTCAATTAAGGGCAGTAGCCCGAGCCCTCACTTCTGTTCTCAGCTCTCCAGTTAGGAGACAAGAAATGATTATGCTTTATGTAAATATTATGGATGTGCATTCTGTCTCTCTAGCTCGGGGTTTCAAATTTTCCACTTTGCAAGAGATTCACCACTTTCCCCTGCTTTTCCCAAACATGAAGTAAATCTCAGAGAATAAAGCAAAGTTAGTTTAGACACCATAATGCTCAGTTTCAATATAATTAAATTGCATACACATAGTCACACTCAGGGAGAGCTGGGACGTCAGCTTCTAATTTGCCACCAAACAAACATCGTCTCCGGTTATTTTCCAGAGTCTAGGGTGGTAACTTTAGTAATTGAAGAGGGGAATAAACAAAGTTAGCATAAAATTATAGTCTGACACAACCTTAAATTCTGCATTTTAAGATCTGGGTGAGCTCATCTGTCATGAGGCCGAAAATAAACAAGCTTTCAAGATGGAAACAATAGTGTAGTTAAAAGTCATCCACATAAGTGAGTCAAGCACTCAAAAAAATTACTTGGGGCAAAGTAAAATTCCGAGGGGTGAATCGTCCTTTTAAGACATTTTAAGACATTAAGATGTTTAAGCAGCCACTACAACAGACACACACACACACACACACACACACGTACTTTTATTCTGTTTATAAGATGTTGGAAAATAATCATGTTGATAAAATACCAAACTTACTGGGTTGTCCATGTTCTGAGGTACAAGGTGACTACCAGAGGGTTTAAGTTTTTCAAACCTCCCAATGGTTGGGAAATGGGGGGAGGAAATGAAATGGATCATCTCTCTGGAGGAACTTCAGCAGATCTAGGGACAAGGACAAGGAACAAACACCAAGGAGTTCAAGAGCCTTTTTCCCCATCTCAATAAATGAAGCTCCTATTTATCTAATTGTTTGCACCAGAAGTTGAAGTTATCTTTGACACTTCCCTTTCTCTCATATCCTATATCTAATCAGGCTGCAGATTCCAGCAGCACTGACATCACGGCAGTGCAAGTGACAGTCATCGCCTTGCCAGTTTTCTTATCACCATAGATTTTTAATTGGTCTTCTTGTTCCCACCATTGTCTCTCTAATCTATTTTTGATGTAGCAGCTAAGTGATATTGTTAAAATTTTTAGCCAGACCATATCAGTGACTACCCATCTCAGAGTAAAATCCCAATCTTGCACAGTATCCTAGAAGGCCCTCTTGATCAGACCTTCTCTCCCCCCAGGTGTCTTCTCTGGTCACCACACCCATTCCCTCTGGCTCACTTGTTTCCCACAGCATGAGCCACCATGTTGTAATCCAAGCCTGCCTCAGGACATGTGCATTTGCTTTTTTTTTTTTTTCTGCCTGAAGTGCTCTTCCCTCAGATATCCACAAAGTTCTCCCCCTGACTTTATTACGGGTCTCTGGCCAAAAATACCTACTTTAGGGTCACGTAGGTGGCTTAGTTGGATAAGCATCGGACCCTTGACTTGGCTCACAGTGTGCCCCTCATCTGGCTTCACACAGAGCTCAGAGGCTGCTTAAATTGTCTCTCTCTCCCTCTGCCCCTCCCCAGCTTATGCATACATGCTCTCTCTCTAAAATAGAAAAATAAAAAAAATATTTACTTTAATCAAGAAAGCCTTTCACAAACACCTTATTTAAAAGTTCAACTGTTTCCTTCACTCACAAGCTTCCTTGATCCTGCCCATTCTGTGATTTTTCCTACAGCAGTGGTTATTTCTTATAAACTACAAGTTTTATTTACTTATTTATTATCTTTTCTCTTCCACCAGGAATGTTTATTTGTTTGTTATTTTTTATAGCTGTTTCCAAATAACTATTATAGTGGCAGAACATGGGTAAGTCCTCAAAAAAATATTTGTTAAAATGATATTAAGAGTGCTTCAAATAAGGTCAATTATACTTCTTTTTTTTAATGTTTATTTATTTTTGAGAGAGAGAGAGAGGGTATGAGTGGGGGAGGAGCTGAGTGGAGCAGAGAGAGAGAGACAGAGAGAGAGAGACAGAGAGAGAGAGACAGAGAGAGAGAATCCAAGTTCCATACTGTCAGTGCAGAGCCTGACACGGGGCTCAGGCTCACAAACCGTTAGATCATGACCTGAGTCGATGGTTGCTTAACCTACTGAGCCACCTGGCTGCCCCTTCCAAATGTACTTCTTAGAAGACTGGCTCTGTTCTAGTTCACTATGGTTATATAGAAAACAGGTCTGAGGAGCTCCAAGACACAAAACTAAGGATAGGGGGAAGAATTCTGAAAAACCTGTGGCCATCCAGAGAGGTTAAACACCCCACTGCATTGGCTCGTGGTTCCATGAACGGTCAGCCGATCCCTTGCATCTGGCTCCCAGGCCCAACAGGTATCATTCTCCATTATGTGAAAGCAAATACTTAGGAAGGGAGGAGAAAGCAATTTTATAGACTTCTTTCCTAAAAATTAGCCAACAGCATCTTCCTAAATTCATTAAAGATTCAACAACACTGCCCCCATTTCCAAATCCTGATAATATTCCAGTTAATAGGAAAACACATCTGGCATTAAAAAATATTAGTGGCAATGCTATGAATTTTATTCATTATCTTGCTTTTGGTTTAAAATAGCAGGTCTATTGCCTCTAGACTAATTCTTTTTAAACCTGCTCTGACTTAATTTAACACCTGGATTAATGAAGTCATTCTAACTTCTGAAATGCAGATTAGGATTAAAGTTCTCATAGTACATGACCAAAGTAATAGCTTGGTTAAAAGAGCTCAAATAGAACTTGCCTTAATGTCATTTGGAACTAGAAAGTATACTACACTGAAAACTTTCAATTATGGTTTTGTGTTATCTTAAACAGATCCCCTCGGATCTCTAACAATGCACCCTGGTGTCCACAATTTGTTTTCAACTCCCATGGTTTGTCCTCAGTCTTACTCTCCTAGGGATCTGGGGTTGAATTAGTAGCGGACAAGAAAATTCCCAAGTAATAAATAGCTTCTATGGACAATAGCATGAATGGATCTACTAAAGGTTGTCTCTCAGAGTCTGAAATGAGTCAGTTTATATTAAAAAGTATTGCAACAGACGTTGATGCACAGAGGATTCACTTTCCTCTCTGACAACGTCCAGTCAGGTCTTATGGTTCACAGGAGAAGCTGAATCACAGAAATTACAGTGCATACTGCCAGGGCTCTGATGAGGCATATGAAATTGCCAATGTATTATTTTTAGAGAGAAAGTATTAGTTACCTTACAAAAACATGCAGATGGTGGAAAAACATACCTTCAGGGAGCTCAACCATTTGGGTAAGAACATCTTAGAAATACAGACTGAATGCCTGCAGTACCAAAATTTCCCAAGATTTGGAAGAAACCACATGACATTGCATTATTTTACTCTTCTTGACAAATTTGATGTCAGAAAATGATAACCTCAGTCTTAGCCTTTTCTGTTAAAAATGAATCAATGCCTCAAAACAAAATAATTTTTTAAGTAGTAGCATTTCTTATATCCCTTGACCATCGTTACTTCCAACAACAGAATATACATAAGAGCTTAAGACTGACAATTCCTTTATAGTGTTGTTTTTCTTGGCAAGAATTAGTTTTTTGATTTTGCCTACGTAACATGAGCATTGGTCAACTCACGTTGTCCTCAGCTGTTCACATTGCCAAGTGCATGTGATAGCCCTGTTTTTCAAATTAACTTACTGCTGCCTTTTATTTTATCCCCTCGGAGCTTCATCAGCTTCTTTGGGTGGCATGCAGTGGAGACCAGAGGTCAGCTTAGAAAAAAAATCTTGGTTAAGAACATCTGAAGAGCTTTGCGAGGCTGTGTAAATATGCATAAACAAAGTCGCTCTACCTATATCAAAAGAGTTAAGCACTCCTGAGTAGCACTTCAAGGTCAGTGGTTTGCTTTCATCCCTTTCCAGCACTTTGCATAGCTGGCAGCCCTCCATCCTTCAGAGAGTGCAGGGACAGCAGAGTGCACAAGACTTCACAGCCTCCGCCAGAATTTCCATAATCACATCAACAGATGGAATAATAATCACCGCTGAAGTTACTGCACCATCTTTCTGATCCAAGGAAACTTCCTCTTGCTTCATTTCAAAATCATTTCTGCTGGCAATTTATACATAAGGTATTCTTATTTTCTGGAAATGCCGCCACATTAAGGTGATTCCAAATAACTGAATCCTGTAAGCCCTGTATTTGAATATGAAAGCCTGTGTGTGGGGAGGAGGTTAAGCACGGTTGGGGGAGGGTAGATTTTGTGAATGCTACAGGGAACGCTGTCATTTTCTTGGCAGCTGAAGGCAGCGATTGTGAGGCCTGTCACTAGCAATACTATCTCCTGGCCACCTGGGCTCAATCTCCACAGCTGTGGTTCCTATCATAACTGTGCTTGAAAGTGACCTCCCTTAGTCTCCACGTAGTAGGTGTCCTCTGTGTTCTTGATTATTTCATGAGGGAAAGTCAGTTATATGGATTATATTGCAGAGACTATCAGATCAGTACAATCAGAATTGGGCTTTCTAAAATCTGGTGTTGGAGTATTTAATGTTGATTTTCAGACAACAGCTCTGAATCTGTCCAAGAACCCCGTGTGGAGGATGAGAAATGTAAGTTGCCTGTTAAAAAAACATTGAACAGGGGCGCCTGGGTGGCTCAGTCGGTTGAGCGTCCGACTTTGGCTCAGGTCATGATCTCACAGTTCGTTGGTTCGAGCCCCACATAGAGGTCTGTGTTGACATCTCAGACCCTGCTTCGGATTCTGTGTTTCCCTCTCTCTCTGCCTTTCTCCCCCTTATATAAGTAAACATAAAAAAAAAAAAAAAAACATTGAACAGCTTCTCTATTGTGTAGATTTTTAAGTTGTTTGAGGTTTGGGGTTTATTTAATGTTTATTTTGAGAGAGAGAAAGTGAACATGCGCATGCACAAGTAAGAGCGTGAGTGGGGTTGGGGGGAAGGGGCAGAGAGAGAGAGGGAGAGAGAGAGAATCCCAAGTAGGCTCCCAAGTGTCAGCACAGAGCCTGACGCAGGGCTCCATCTCACTAACTCCTGAGATCATGACCTGAGCTGCAATCAAGAGTTGGACCCTTAACAAACTGTGCCACCCAGGCGCCCCTAAATTGTTTGAGGTTTAAGGCTTTGTTGATATCATGCATTCTTTCAGAGTATAGGGAAACAGACGCTAGATTCTCAAAACCTTTTTCTAATTATTTATCTTTAGGAGAATTGTTTACCAATTTAAATGTCCAAGTCACATACATGGGCAATTTCAATAACCATAAAGGCATAATATAAACACAAATCGCTCTTCTACTCTTAAGAAGTTGTAAAAGGTATTTTATGTTTGTGTGATATAATCTACTAAAAAGATAATGAAAACAGGGGAGAAAAGAGACCATCACTTCAGCAGCAAAATTTATTGAGATCTCTGTGTCTGGCTCTACTCCACACACCAAGGACAATACAGAATCTTTCTTCCTTTTTGTACACCCTATCCCTTGGAGTTTACATCTTTTCACACAGCTGCAGCTATATTCTAATTGGAAGTCTTGAGATCTATATTTTCGAAAGCAACCTCTCTTTCAGACCTCAAGGCAATACTTACAATTATACCTGTTATAACCTTTTTTATGGGGAAGGGGAGGTGTAAAGTTGCCAGATAAAATGTGTGATGCACATTTAGTTTTGTCCCAAACTTATGGGGCAGATTTATACTAAAACAAAAAACAAACAACAAAAAAAATCAGTGTTCATTGTGTATCTGATATTCAAATTGAGCTCGACTCCTTGTATTTTAATTTGCTACTTCTGGCAACCCTAAGGTGGGAATT